AGAGGACATAAACAAACAGTTAACCCTTAGCAATCCAGGTAATCATAGCTGATCATTTGGTAACATGGATAAACTATGAAATTCAAATGATTTCCCTATACCTCGTGGTTTACTTAAATCTTGCTGTGTGCTGCCGCTTCAGAAAGAGATATATTGCTTTGAACTAGTTATACTGTACTTTAGGGGATTCTTTTTAAGTATAAATAATACTTATTATCCAACTGTTCCTTTTATTCTCTTCTTGAGCAAACCACTTCAAATACATGATTCTTTCAGACCTTCATTTTTCCTCAGTTCTTCTTTCAGTTCTATATAAAATTGTACTAAGTGCTGGATGAATTTAGGGAATTGGGAGTTCAACATTGTTCTAACTGTGAAATTAATTTTCTGGACTTAATGGTGGAGAGAGGAGACTAGCGACGCAGTGTCTCAACTAGGTTTACTTGGTTTTCGGGGTTCATTCCATTCCCTTGGCGGCAGGTATCTTGCTCTCTCCCAACTCCACTTCTGTCCCCGACCTTTTCTGTCTCTTATCTCCCGTTACTCTCTCAACAGCAATCTTCCAGTCCAGCTGTCAGCTGCAGTTCACCTGGTTATTTCCTTTCTTTACAGTGTGAAGCTAAAAGGGGAAGGACCAAGTGAAAGGAAAAAAACTTTGGTTGGATGTATGTAGAATTTGAAGACCAAAGTAGTTGGGAGATTTTAGGCGTCAACACTCGGCAGCTCCTGTTCTCATCTATTTTAGGACAGTAAACCCCCCACCGCCCCCCCGCACCACCCCATTAAAGTTACAGGGAGAACACGGAGAAGATGAAATGTATCTCTTCTGGGAAGGAAATAACAGCTACAGCATCACTATCAAATTTGAAAATGTTCCTACTTTCAAGTTTAAGAAAACTACCACTTCAGGATTTTATTTTTAGTTCTGAGGGAATCGGTCTAAATCTCAGCACTAAATAACTTAATCTTTCCTTTGAATAAAAAGACAAATGACAGTGGTTTTAAATTGCTGGGTTTTATTAAGATATTGGCAAAATTTCAACATACTTCCTACCCAAATGAACAGTTTTAATAAAATATGAAGGATCACTCATGATTACAACTGAACTCAAAAGTGAGCTGTAGAGCAGGTTCATAAATTGATCAATTTACTTGGTAAGAAATGATTCACTTCATTCGCTTCACTCCATAGAGAATTCTTTGCAGAGAAATGTCATGAACAAGAGAACAAAGCCTGTCTCTCACCAAAGAGCACCTAGAGTAAGTTAACAATGATGTATCTGTGGACTATCTAGTACATCAAAGTTTATTAGAGTATTTCCTTTTCCAGAACAACTGCTGTGTCAGTCTGGAGTTCCCTATCTTATTTCATATTTTCTAAATAGTACAATAAATAGTCTTCACAATAGAAGATAAAATGCTGCTAGAGGAAATAATTATTTTTCTACACAGTACCCTTTGTCTGGAAAATAGTGTTATAATACTGGCAGTATCTTGTTTTGAAAAAGACATCTAAGCTATTCACATGTCAGAACAGAAGAGTGGGTGTTTGTCCTTTAACATCACATGATTTTAAGAGGTGAAAAAAGTATGTTTTCTTTTGCTAATATGATCCAAAGAAAATTATGATGTGACTAAAACTATAGTATCCCCATTTATGGCCTTGCTTAGGTGAGAATGATCATTAAGTGAACACAGCATGTTTAAACATCAAAATAACTTAATCACTTTCTTACAAAGCCTCGGCAAGCCTTTGATGGGGAAGGAAGCACTTGAACCACAGCAGTTTTATCTGTAAACACTGAACTCTTTATGCATCATTTTCATCTGCCCATTGGATGTTGCACTTCTTACTGGCACAGTGTTCCAACAGTGGAGTGTGGTTGTCATGGAAATGCAGTGTGATACTATACACCACGTTGACATTCTACCACCATAAATGTGGTCAGAATCAGACTCAGTGTTGACATTGACATTGTTGACATTGTCCCTGGAAAAGGTGTTACTTTCAAAGGTCCTCCTAGGTAAATGCAACAGGAATTTTAATCTTATTAATTCAAGGACAATGGATGGCACTTCTAGGTAAAGAAAAGGTATTTACATGTGTGTTTCCACCATCTTCTGCTTACTTATGTAGTCAGACCCAACTGGGACTCGTAGCCCCAGTGTTTGGCGTGAAAATGCTGCTTAACATCAGCTCTCCCTCTACGGTCCATGTCCAGAAAGTGAACAAAGGAAGCCTGTAAATTAGGGGCCGATTCCCTTTGGAACTCACAGTGAATGTACAAGGAGTTTGTAATTACTTCAGTTGGTGACTTGAAGTCTGTTTCCTTAACTACTACTATACTTTCTTGTTCATATTTGTTTTACTATTTCCTAGTCTAACGAAACTTTAGCAGGCAAACAAATTGATGCAGATCATGTTAAATTCAAAAAGGGATACTGCCACTCCTAAAGACTGTAGAACTTTCACCACCACTAAATTACACAATGAATAAAAGTACAAAACACATAACTCACAGACTATACACCTCAGCGTTAACAGTTAATATATATTATAGAGATACTTTTTTATCTGTCTACTATTTTTACAATCACCAGATACACCATCATTAAGTACAAGTTACAGAAATGTGTAGAAACCATTAGAGGGGTACTTATTGCTTACGTCAGCAAGCAGCAGATAAGGGCACAGGATTTGAACTGAAGGGAACTACTTTCTATCACCAGTGGCATTAAGATATAACACTGCATTTCACAAAGCACTGCTTTTATCTAGCTTATAGAACCAAGAGCAGCATATATCAGACCAATAACCACTACTTTAATATGTATTATAGAATTTTAAAGGACTTACCTTACAAATGGTACCTAACTACTCTAGAAATATGCATGTTGTGGACAAATGAAAATTTGCTATTTTTTACAATATCGTTTGATAACTTGACCGTACTAGAGCTACTTTGCTTTATTTTCTAGAGGGCTACTGGTATGAGAATGGAGTTAACACTGCTTACTTATGTAGTCAGACCTCTAAGATCCAGACCCGAAGATACATTCCAATTTCAGCCAACCATTTTTCCCCACTGAAAAAAACCCATCACTTATACCCTCTTTCCTTTCACCTTCTTTATTCTGATCGAAAACATTAACTATAGACAACCATAGGAAATCCTTAAAAAATTTTTTTAAGTCAGCTAAATGCTTTGGACTATAATATGCCAATATTCTGCTGCCTCTGTTTTCTTGTTTCCTTAGATAATGTGATTCGAAACTGGCACTGCACCTGATGGGTTGTTAACAAGATCTAGGCTTCAGAAAACGAAAGACGTGAGTGAGGTCCGTGTGTGGGGGTGAAGCACCAGGCTGGTGAAAAGATTCTGGTACTTTAGTTGGAGCCATGTTTATACTCCCTCCTTTTCAGCCATGTGTCACAAGATTTGAGATAAGAAATGACTTCAAAATCAAGAGAAAACAAATACTGAAAATCTCTACTTACATCCAAATTTTTAAAATAAAATCTGCAGATTAACGATCTGATCATTGCTAAAGTGAAGCTGTTGTTATTTGATATAGCTGTACTGGCACCCAAAATACGCTATATAGTCCTATGGTTTTAAAATCCAAGAACTTTAGCCCTCCGTTCTAGATCTGGGGAACAGTAAGTAACTGTATTATTATGTGAAAACACGATTAGGCAGAAGACGTTTCTCAGCAAAATACTTCAGTACCTCCTGTCCATTCACATGGCCGGTCCGTGGTGGCCTGGGGGAGGGTAAAATGTCACGTGGAGACATTCATGATTCTCAGAATCAGAGGCTGCTTCACTGAATGAATCTGATTATTAGTTTATTTGCTGCCTTTAGTTGAAGATATGCTTCTGGCTCGAAACTGCAGAAATGGCAAAAAGGCGGACAATTTTAAAATGTCAAATACAAATAAATATTGAAATGAGAAACACGGGTCCTATCCCTGCAGTCTGAAGTTGCATGTAACAGGACTCTGGGGTGTTCTCCATTTATTACCAAGCAGGCCTCGGGCTTGGCAATCTGCATTCTGTTTTGCACTTGGCCTCTGGGCTCGCTTTAAGCAGTACTTTCAGCCTCTTTCACACCAATTACTTCACTCCCTTGGGGGAAACAGTTAAAATTAGTATTTTTTTCATTCTTCAAAGCCACTTTTTAATAGTAGTATATGTCTTTGCTATTTGTGACCTTTAAAAAAAAAGGCAGAAAAATAGAAATATCTGATTTTCATTTTAAATGGCAACTTGATTCTAGTATATTTGTACCTGACATCATCTCCATTAAACCAGTTTATTCCTGAGATGAAGGTACAGTGAAAAACATGTTGGCATCAGGTTATAACCTGTTGACAGCGGTCCTCTAAAATGACAAATAATAAAAATTCTGCCAAAAGCACCATAACAGGTTATGAAATTCCCCAATAGCTACAACCCTAGGAAATACTTTTTAATTCAAAAAATTTTCTAAGTCTTTTATGTTACAGAAAAAAAAAATCAGTAAATCGTTTTGACTGTATGCCGCCTCACAAGTCTGAGAATATGACATTTTTATGCTAGGTTTCTGTTCTGCTTTCCTTGTTACCACTTAAAACCCATATGGCTTTTAGTCTTTTACTTACCAAAAAAAAAGGGGGGGGTTGTTCTTTCATAGTCTCCAGTCTTTTGAGGAATATTCTCCAACTAAATCTAATTCTGCATTAAGTTTTCCATAGATATATTAGGCACATCAGACCAGATTTCAACTGCATTGAGCTTTTTCAACACTATATATCCTGACTAAACTAACTCGCAAGCTTCCACTAGTGACGTGAAGAGGCAGGGCGGTGGGGTTGTATGTAGGTGTGGGGACACATCACAGGCATCAGTTGTATAATTTTGCTAGCGAAACCGCCAATACTTTTTTCAGATCGAACACACTGTATTTTGAGTTTCCTAGAGATCTATTTACATTTAAGAATCGAGCCACCCATGTTTTCATAATGAAGCACATATATTTCAGAAATGTCTACCTTGTTTCTACTCTGATAGTGGTTTTTTTGGGGGGGGGTGGTTGGGGAGCTAACTAGCCTACTTTAAAGAGTAATGTTATATTTTATAGCTCCAGGGAAGATCTGGGTATGGAATATCATTATTCTGTCTCAGTTTCCTCATCATGTTTTCACTGTAATCTTTCCAACTATTTTGCCTCCATGGCAGAGAACTTCTTAACATCCTATTTCTCCTCCCACTTCGAATAAGCGAACACAGGCTAGTGCCTATTTTGTGGGAATGCTCTTGAGCAGAGAGGAATGAACTAAGCTTTGGATTAAACCTGAATCCGTGCCGCCTCTTTGAATAGTGGTAGCGTAAATGAGATAATCTAGAAACTCTCTTTCCCAGGAATTTGAACTGTTCATTTTCCAACCTAGAACAGATAGGAGACAAGCTCTCCATTCTATGTATCTGCTGCCCTGTTGAACCCAAGTTAAAGGAAGAGGGAAACTTTCCAGCACCACTCCATTCAGGCAATGATGATTGAACTGATTTTTTCTCCATTATTAGCTCATTAATAAGATTTGCTTTCTTTGGTGCACCAGTGCCAAACATATCAACTGGTGGCAAAAACTGAGCACTGTGAGGTTTGCTTTCTTCTATTTGTGTAAGATCTAGGTAGCCTGGGTCTTCCAGCACGTTGATTTGGGACCCTGGGCTCAGGCTAGTTCTATCAGTGAAAGAATCCACACGCCCATCATAGCCTAGATCTGCTGGTGCTGAACACTGATGCTGAGGCCAAGGGCGTTTGCACTCTCCATGATTCTCCTTATCATCCCCACCATCTTCTTGCCCTCCTTGAAAAGAGTTCTCTGTCCAATCTGATTCCTCACTAACATTTACAGCTTTGTTCATGTCCCTCAGGAATACCACAATAACAGTGATATTATCACTTGACCCAGCATCACGAGCTGATGCTACTAATTTGTGGGCAACCATGCTGCTGTCTCCATTGTTCTCCTTCAGGTGGTCAGACACAACTTTCACTGCCTCATCGGGGTTCACGGTGTCATAGAAGCCATCACAGGCTAGAATGAGGTAGTCTTCAGTTCCATCCAAAACGGTAGAGGCAGAATCTGCATCTCCACAGATATATGGCTTATGTTCAGCATCTCCTGTGGGAATTAGAAGGTAGGTTAGATTTTGGTTTACCTTGCATGGAAGAATGTTTATGGCCAATGCTACGACTGATTACAATCTGCTGGACTGTAATCTGAATTTACTGAAAAGAATTTATAAACTAGTTTTAGATAAAATACTCGAATCCTCTGTTAATTGGATCCCTCGGTACTCTAAGTTAAATAATAATAAGAGCTTAATTTCTTATCTAGCTTACACTCTGCATCTTGCACCTCTAGGTAAGACTTAGGCTTAGCTGAGCATGACAGCAAATGTCAAATCTAAATCTGTTGCTGCACTGAAAAATCCAGTCTTGTGTAGGAAAACCATGTTGATTTAGTAGATCTGTTCTTTTACTGGTGGTTAGGTTTGATTTAATTGAGATTTGAGGAAAGGTCCACATTGAAAAACCAAAGTTCTGACCACCCTCTTCATTAAACACTTAATTTTTGTTCTATTCTAATTTAGAAATCAATAGCTTCACACTGCAAAACACAGAGGGAGGTTTGAGTTACAAAGGATTTTAAAAATGCAAGCCCAAATCCCTCAAGCTAGGAAAAGTCATCCCAAGCCTCTGCCAAGGGAACTAGAATGTTAGTCTCATGGTTCCCAGTCCAGTTTGCTTTCTGTTTTTTAATGCTGCTTTTTGCTTACTGTTTCAAGAGAACAGTCAGAATGTGTATGACCACTTTTTCTCGTCTTCAGGGACTCCCCTATTCTTCTTGCTTTCTTTATGTGACTCGGATCATGCCCCCAACCCTTCTGTCTTTATTGCTATTGTTCATTTTCCACATGTGAACAACTGTGAGAACCCCCAAAGCCTTATTGGGCCTTTATTTCTCTCTTCTTGCTTATTAGCTCATCCCCTATACAGAATGACATTTGAGCTGGGTCTTGAAGGATAAGTTAGTTATCACCAGGCAGAGTTGAGGGAAGAGAATTAGCAAAGACAACTAGAATTAGAGAGACAACTGTTAAGGAGTAATGCGTAGTTGAACACAGGGGTGCTTGGGTTAGGGTGCTGGAGACCTTCGGCCCACATTGAGCTAGGTTTCTATCACCAGACTAGTAAGAAAATCCATCATCTACAATGCACTTTGGAACTTCCGATCCGGAGCACTTCTGAATCCATTGTTTTCCTTTAGTATTTGGACAGAGCCAGGCAAAAGGGCCCTTCGCCTGATGGGTAACCACATAGCTTATTACTAGGACAAGGGATACTCATTTACTTTTTTTTTTTTTTTTTTAATTAACTTTTTTTTTATGGTGACATTGGTTAACAAAATCCAATAATTTTCAGCTGTACACCTTAACAGTAAGACATATATATATTTACACTGTGTGTTCACTTCCCATAGTTAGATTTCTTTCCGTCACCACATATTTGACTCCCTTTGCCTCATCTACCACCCCACTCCCCCTTCCCCTCTGGTAACCACTAGTCTGTTGTTCATGTCCATGAGTCTCTGTTTGTTTCTCCTGTTCATTTGCTGCTTTTAGTTTATATCCTACATATAAGTGATATCATGTGATTTTCAACTTTTTCTGTGTGGCTTATTTCACTTAGCATGATTATCTCGAAGTCCGTCCATGTTGTCACAAATTCATTTACTTCTTAACATAAAAAACACAGAGTACTGAGCAATAATTCCTGGACTAGGGTATCATAATTCATCGGTAAACAATAGTTTTTAAAAATTTACAAAGCGCTTTATCATTTGTAAAGTAGTGGCAAATAGCTTAATAGTTAAGGACACCAGCACTGGAGTCAGATGGCCTGGGTCCAAATCCTAGCACTTGTTAACCCTTATTAATTACTGTCCTTTTCATTACGCTAAAACTGAACTTTTTGATCAGGGGGAGATAAAATGTAGATAAATATATTTAAATAATCCGGCTATATTACTGTTTCTAGTATAGGTTGTCTCCTACCCAGGTAAGGTTCTTTCAGACATTTCACTCACCTGTTTAATCCTCAAATAGGCCCGGAGAACTCAGTAGGAACCCTATGGATAACTCTGCCAGCACCATTATGGGCCACATGTCCTATCCAACAGGTTGCATGGGGATACCCTGAACAACAGATACTTACTTAGTATACTTACCTGCGTTAGTTTATCTGTAAGGCAGAAAACTATCTTTTCTATACAGTAGTCAGAACCATCTTCCTCAAGCATGGTTTTGATTTTGTCAGTTTCACTTATATACTATGATACCTTTTAATTAGCCTGTTAAAGCTAATTAAAACTTTCAGTCATGAGATTCAGGGTCTTCCACCGATCCACTTTAAATTTCCCCATCCCCTACTCTACCTGACTATATTATTATCATCATCATTATTTTCTGAATTCCAGCTCTAAAAATAAATGTGATCTGAGTCATACTGTTCCCAAAAATCTTTAGTGCTTCAATTAAAAGGCTACTGCAACTGTTAGTTTAGAACAGAACATACAAAGATTTGCACAGAGAAAACGCTGCCAAAATTCTGGCTTTTCACCTGCTCTACTGTTGGATGTCAAATTCATGACATTTCGCCCCCAAATTCGGTAGGAGGGCATGATTATCCATTTCATGGAAGAAATGGCAACATCCTTTTGTCTTCAGCCTCCTCTCTCCATATGCTAGGAAACATATCATGCTTCTGTCAACTTTGGATCATAAATCTGAAGGGCTCCTGGGGAGAAACATTTTAAAAGCTTTTCATTTTTAAAGCTTTAAGTGTCATTTTTTCCTAAGTAGACTTGAACTCTGCTTAGGAATTTCTCTTGTCCCTATTTAGCCACCTATTTTATTCCATGAGTTTTCTAGGACTCTGGCTTCTTTCTCATCTTCCATTTCTCTTCTACGTGCTCTCTTTTAATCCTACAAAGATGGTCTGATCTAAAATCTCATCCTAAAAACAGTAAAAGCAACCCTTTCCCAAATCAGCTTTTCCCTCAAGTTCACCACACTATTTCCCTTCACCAAATTGTCTAAGAAACCAAATCTACACATGCTCCTTGATGTTATTGCTCATTTCCTCCACCTGATTGTTTTCTGGTTTTTCCACCTACTTATCCAAAACATTTCTCTCAAATGTTACCAACTGTAGTAAGTCCTCACTTAACGTTAATAGGTTCTGCAACTTTGAATGAAATGACTTACAACGAAACCAGTTTACCCTTGGCTAACTGATAGAAAAAAGTTAAGCTCCTACAGTATCTCATCAGTGTTATAATGAAAATGATGTTGAACAAAACATTATTTAAGGACTTGTTGTATTTCCGATTTTCAAAATTCCAGGTCTTTTTTTAACCCACTTCAAACTGGACCTCTGCAGCACTTGACTGACTACTTACTCCCAGAAACCTTTCCCTAGCATCTGTGATGCCTACTTCTGGAACTGTGATCCCTTCTGGGTTTTCTTTGCTGGCCTCTTAAAAACAACACTAACAGTTACTGCGTGCTAAGACTGGCAGGCAGGGTTCTAAGTGTGGGGAGTGTATTATACCATTAAATACAAAAATCCCATGAGTTAGGTGCTGTTACTATTCATACTTTATAAAAGGAACAGACAGACACAGAAGTTATGTAAATTTCCCAAGGCCCGAAACCTGTAGCGTGGCAGATCCAAGATAGAAACCTAGAAAGCATGACTTCATTATGATATTCTACCTTAAATAAAGAGTCTCATCCTTGGTCTCTCCCTTAATACTACATATTCTTCCTGGGCAATGTCATCCATGCCTGTAGTTTCAATTAATAATGTATATGTCACTTCACGGGTTGCTAATATTATTGCCAAAATGGAATGAATTCCCAAATCTCTCTCTCCAATTCAGAAGTGTGCTAAGCTCCAGATCTTTATTTCCAACTACATATAAATGATCTCTTTCAAGACATCTCACAGGTACCTGGACTATAAAGTATGTCCAAAATGAACTCGTTACTGCCCTCCTCCCCACCACACCCCAAGTTTCTGCTGCTTTGTTACAATATGCTTTATCATCATCTCAGTCACACAAGTGAGAAAGCTAGAAGTTACCTTTCCTCTTCCTCCACAAACTCATTTGTCTCATCAATTCATGCCTTCTTCTGTATCCCGTTTTAGCTGTCCTCATCTCTGTAACAAACTGTATCCGCAGCCTCCTGAATGATCTCTCATCTAGGCTTTCTACTCTAGTCTGTCTTCCATACCATCATTACAAATATCTCGTAAATACAAACCTGATCCTGTGGGTCCCTCTGCTTATTCACCTGGCAAAACCCAGACTGTTTAGCCCCTTCACGATCTGACACCAACACTGACGTCTTACCACTCCCACCGTCTGTCCTGGCTTCCTGTACTTCTTGCTGTTCCTAAAACACAACCTGCTCTTTCAGACGCCCATGTGTTTGTGTTCCCCCTCTGTCTGTAATTGCCTTCCCTGAACACTGTCCTCCACAGCCAACTCAAAAGTCACTTCCTCTGAAGTCTGCCTTATTCTCTCTTAGACTGCCACTTACTCAAGGACATTCTTCCTCTGCTTTAGATTCCCCTTGTGTTATATTTTTAGAAACAAGAAAAAGCAAGTATCCGCTAGTAAAGTTGGTTTTATAATAGGCATTAAAGATATCGCTCAGTGCTCCCACAAAGACAGGAAGATCAAGAGGAAGAAGTCTTTGGTTGCAGTTGTCAAAAGTAATTCTATATGGGGTTATGTTTTAGAAATGAGAAGTTTCTTCCATTTGGCCTTATTCCAGAGTTCCTAATAACTCCCTCAGTCATCAGGTAAAGGCAACTTTCAGTTTTTCAGGAGGCATTTGCTGAATTTTTTTTTCTCTCTCTCCACTTTCCGCTGCCCACATTTGGGCCACTTCACAGCTTGCCAGCACCTTCCCAAAGAGTGGGAGGAACTCAGCGTGGTGAAGCGGAATCGGTCCTTTGAGATTTTGTTAATGTTCTGGAACTGTTTGGTGATGATAAGCAAAATTTGGGGATTAGATGTACATTTCATTTATCCATGTTATCCCTATTTTTTTAGGAAGCAGTGACTAAGCACTGCAGTATATATGCATATCATTTATATAGACACACACATTAATTTGTTCCTTTAAAAAAAAAACACAGAAAATGAAGCTAAACCATGAAGCCTAAAATAATAAACCGAGGTGCCAAGGTGAAACAAAGACAAACAGGACTATAGCTCAATTCTTTGAACTTATACCCTTGCATTTTGTCCAATCAACTTAGCTGTTTACTCTGTAAGTTTTAGAGTTGTGGTTTTGTTTGTTTGTTTGGGGTTTTTTTTGCTGACTTTCTGCTGCTTTTGAAGAATTTAAGTCCCTGGAAGCAGATTCTTTGAAACCCCAGGGTTATCTGGTAATTACTATATTCCTCATATAGAAAATAATTTTTATCTAAAAAGCAGTGTTTTTCCTATAGATTTGTTCTCTGTTGTTTATGTTATTTTAAAATCCATTGAAAAAATTTAAAGCTTTAAGCAAGGTAAAATATGAGGGGAGCCTTCCATTCTCATACAGTATATAAAAAGCTAACGTGACCCAAAATGGAATGAGGATCACTGTGGTGTTAAGCAACTTTGTATACCAAAGATTGAAGGCTTCCATTTTTTTAAAAAAGGATAGAAACTAGTAAGTTCTGCATTTCTTAATATAGTTCCTTTTTAATAATGGAATTTAAGTATATAAATGAGTAGGTTAATTAAATCAAAAGAGGCATCATCCAACTGTTATTTTAAACAATAATAAGCGCACTGATAATATAAATGATCGTCTCAGGATCCCTTATAGCAGAGTTAATATAAGACAATGAGCCAGAAGAGAACAGTTTAGAGAAACAAAAATTAATTGGCTTTTCCTACCAATGGCTCTGGAGACCGATAGACTTCCATTCACCCTCCAGGCACCAAACCAGACTACACAACCTCCAAGGGCCTCGATTCGCTGCTTTTCATCCTAAACAGCAATGCAATAGAAAGAAGCAAATAATTAGATTCAGGATTTAGTCATCTACCTTAACAGTAAACAATATATATAATACTTATCAGCTTCCTGGAAAGGTTCTCTATTTCTCCTTTGGAAGGTAGGCATGGTTGCTGAGATCACGGTGATAATTATAGTAATTAAGTGGGTCTTAATAACTAGAAAACTGCCTTTGTTGGACAGACCATACTTACCTCTCTGTCCGGTTTGTGTGGCTTCATTAGTTCAACAGCTTGGCCCTTTCTCACAAGCATAACCTGGGAGTCACCCACCCAGGCTACATGTAGCATGTTGCCTCTGATAAAAGTCACCACTCCTGTGGTCCCACATCTTAAGCTCTGAAAATCGTTTAAATAAAACTAGAGTCAGTAAAAATAAATAGATATCAAATTCTCATTGAGAAACAATAGTTGACACAGATATTTCGGTTGGGAGTTAGACAATATATTAACTCAGTTTCACAAAAAGCAATTCCTACTCATTCAAATTTCTCATTTTTATGTGCATGAATGTATGTGTGCATACACAGACCCACTGGATCTGTGATATGCAAGGCAAGGATGATTATTAATTCCATTTTATATATAAGTAGAAAACTATGGTAGGTTATATGAATTGTCCAAGGGCACAAAAGAGAAATACAATTCTTTTCTTCCTAGTCCAGTGATGAATACATTATATCAACCCTAGAGTAAAGATTACCATATTCAGGTCTGGCTCTTTTGTTACTGACCTCCTGTATGTTTAGGGAGAAAGTCCTAGCTCTGGATAGTAAGATAGGAGCCAAGAGATAACTTGTGTTCCCTGGAGTGCTAAGATGCTTATACCTTAAACAAACAAATAAACAAACAAACAAACCCTCTACAATAATTTTAGGGGCCTTTGCTTTTTGTAATGTTGCAAAGAGAACCAACAGCCCGGAATTTCACTGCAGTAGCTCAGTACCACTGTACTGAAGGTCTTGATACTACTATACTAAAATGACATCTCTCCATTTGACATGAGTCACCGCCAAATGAACATGACTTTTCTGTTACTAAGGACTTGGCCTAAATTAGAACCAATGCGTCAAGGGTGGTAAAAGGCCCCTTGTAGCCAATGAGAAAAACAACTTCTCATTTTCCCTATTTAGGGAAAGTTTGTTATAAATCCTCACCCACCAATAAAATGTCTTCCCACACACACTGTTCAAAGACTCAGCCCCCTGGAACACATGATAAAGACACTTGAATGCATATGCCCTGGAGAGAACAGGAGGCAGGGCTGCTTCACAACAGGAATAGCTACTTTCTTCCCAGCAGTTAGCAGCACATGGAAGCACAAGAAGGAGAAACGTAACTGCTGAAACAAACCTAAATTATTCAAGAGAACTATTGGCAGGACTAAGAGACACTAGGGTCACGGGCAAAGTAAATGTGAACAAGGTCAGAAAAAAAAAAAAACCCATAATTTTTGAGGACACAGAGGAAAAGGGATAGAACAGAGGATGAAGAAGATGACAAGTGACTCGGTTTCACGCTGGTGATTACAGAGCACCTCTCAGGAGCCAGGTCTTGTCCTCCGTCAGAAGGATGACAGCCAGCAGCTCCAAGGCAGACAGCCAAGCAGTGCTGGCCCTCCAGAGATGGAAGGGCTGAAGTCAACAGCTGTATGTTGATTTCTAGCCCCACCTTATATGTAGACCTTAGTGGTTACTGCTGTTGGATTTGCATATTAATCTAAACCTGGGGTGCTGGTGGGGAACTATAGAATATTTCTCTTAATACCAAATAGTTCTGAATTACTGTTTCATGAATTCTAAACCCCACTACTGCTGTAAAGCATAACTCTGAGATGAAAGAAATGGATTAAAATGATTACCCTGTTCTCTCCAAGTCAGTTTCAAAGAGAGTTAATGTGTAAGTTGTAGGGCAGGAGTCTTATTTTCTGTGTATATATAATTCTAAAATTACTTTTAAAAATTAAAAATTATTCTCTTTCCATTGGCTCCCAGTTAGAAATGCACAGAGCACTATACTTAATTATGTAATCACCAATATCCAGAATTAGATTAATTTGATTAAAATTTTTTACTTCTAGATCTTAATATAGAGCCCCTGTCATTCATTCAGAGTAAAAACCTTAAGTCTGATTAACCTTAAGAAATTAGGACACGAGCTCTGACTTTTCTTCCTGTTAAGAGAAAATCAGTTCAAGGATCATCTAAGGATTCACTCTCTCCAAGCGAATTTTCCCTCAAGAGATACATAACAAAACACTGCCAACCCATTTAGAACCAAATGTATGGGAGTAATCCAGCTTCTGTTTCTTTTTTAGACCATTTTTAATCACCATATCCAGATTTTATCAGCAAAAGTCTGCTTAGAGAAATGGTCCTGGTATGAACCTGACAGGCAGTGGTGAAGGAGGATAAATTCACCTGCCATATCCAGCAATGGATTGTCTTTCCAGAAAATTATAGCTTGGGAGTTTCTATACAGTACATCATAGCACCCCCACTAAACTCTTCCTGAAGAGAGAATTAGAACTACAACAGAATCCAGTACTGTGGGTCAAGAATACATTTTGGGAGAGAACTTTAAATAATGCCTGCGCCAAAAGAGAAAATCCAAAATAGCCCTTTAACCACAGACTAAGGTGAGCTCGGCTAGTGCATTCATGGCTAGAATTTAGGAGGAAACGGCATACCTCCCTGGCTGCTTTCTGCACAAACCGCTCATCGGTGACCCGGAAGGCCCGGCACAGGGCCTCAGCAGGGTCGTGGGGGAACATCTCCTGGCGTACTAAGTTAACGTGCAGGTGAATGGAGGCATAAATGGCAGCATCCACTCCTCCATGGCCATCAAACACTGCAAAGTAAGCTTGTTCTTCCTGGTCCTGTCAACAGAAACAGTTAAGGGAGTTGGGTATAGCATGGTTCAAGAGCGCCAACCCCCTGCACCGCTGCCCATCCTCCTCCACTGCATTTGTCACCCAGATAACGAGACTAAATGTTTCCCTTTTCTGACATGCCTGATCAACTGCTAAAATACCTGCACTATTAGGGCATCTGTGTTCGCACACCAGAACACTGGAACACATCATGCCCAATTAGCTCGGGCTGAAGCGCCCTCTCTGCGAAGTTGCTGTCTTGTGCCATGGAAACCGCCCACATACATTTGCTTCAGAACTGCTGCTACCGTTTTGAGGGGAGGGGGAGAAAAGAAATGATGAGGAATTGAATAAAAGCCCTTCTGGATTGAGAATTTTTTCCAAAAAGTATTTTAAATTAGAAACTGAGATCGATAGGAAACAATTGGCCTCCCAGCACAAGGCCATTTATGTTAGGTTGTTTAAAATACAAAGGGATAATGAAAACGTACACATACTTCTATAATATCTCCTTCATAAATCATTCATGGTCACATCGAATTCTGACCATAAATAACATAGCCTAAACTGGTTAGCCAAATTTGAACCATATCAGATGTCCACATGCCCTATAACCACTTTACCTTGTCCCTTAATCCAAGATTTAGCTTCCTATTTCCCTTGCCCACCCACTGCTTCAAGTGCTAAAAACACTGCCAGAGGGCAGTCTTCCAAACCTGTGCTTTGTCCTGACAAAGGAAGCCTAGTCACAAGATCACATTAAAACGGTTAAGTAGTTTGCTGCTTCATCTTCGGCTCAAGTGTTTAAATCTCAGATCTTACCCCCTCGGGAGATCTATAACTCACTGAACTCTGAGTCCTGGACTCCCTTTAGGAAACAGTATGTATTGACCTTTCGTCTGTAAGTCTTTGACATTCCTTGAGCGCTAGCAGCTTGGATGAGTCCAGGTCCTGTCATTCAAAGTAAATCACATAATTTTCTTGTGCTTGCTTTCTCATCTGTTAGGGGAGGGATGAGGTGCTGCCTCATGGGGATTGGGAAGGAGTACTAAAACAACAGGTATATTTGCTCTGAAAAAGTTCTTTTAAAGGGTAGACATTTACAAAATTACCGCATATAAATATCCACAGAGTAATGATAGCACCCAAATATTATGAAATCTATATCTAATACAGATATCACAACTAGTTAATTCAGCAATTTAATCAACACCATCTATAATGCCATCGAAGATTAACTGATTAAACAGAATTATCTAGGAAAAAACTCCTGACATGTAGAATTGCTACCTATATTGTAGTACTCATTTTTAAACAATTGGCAGGAATAAGGGTAAAATTGAAAAACAGCATATACAAGCAGTTTTTACATGATGAATGAGTTGTGGGATTATCACAAAAGCGGGGGCAATAATAACTTTATGGGGCCATGAGAATATAACTAAACAATGTGAGATCGGTAGGGAGATTTCTTAATACCGCCTCAGAAGAAACAAAAGGGAGCCAAATGGATCTCTTTAAAAAATTAGTATAGCTTTTTAACAAAAATACTGATATTCTCCCCGTATGTAATGTTTGGACTAATAATAAAGAAGTGGAAAGTAAATCTATAATCCCACCATCCACAGATAACTAGTCTTTTTCTATACATATACATTTTTAAATAAAATTAGGATCATATATAGAATTTTATATCCTGCTTTTTGTCATTTATCATGTCATTAGCATTTCCCCCATGGCATTAAGTATTACTTGAAGGCATAACTTTAAATGGACATGTACTATACATCTTATGAGCATATCAGTTTTCCCTATATGTAATGATTTAGATCATTTCCAATTTTTTTATCGACAATGTTGTATTAAACATTAATGTCAAACAAAACATGTACGTAAGACTTTTCTGCATTTCTGTACCTGTAATATAAAAATTAAAAGTGAAATTACCAGATCAAGGGGTGTGAAAATATACAAGGTTCTACGTATGTGTTGTCAAATTGCCATCAAAGCCTGTTTCACTATAGCAAGGTGCTCCTTTCTGAGTTAGGAGTTTGGACTGATTTCGAGGCAAAATGAAAACCAAGTCAACAAATAGCAATCACGCTCTCAAAACTGAGTATAATCTTCAAGTAAGTGTAGTGATATAAGCATTGTTTATCACATAACAGCCTTTCGGATTATGCATGCTTGGGCATGGAAACAAAGACATCACCTGATCTATCTTTGTAACATAAGCTCCAACTACCAACCCGCCATCACTGCTTATCAGACCTTGACAGTCAGCTAAAATTTAAATTTAGTTGCTACAAGAAGGAAATATTGTGCTTTGTAGAAATTATTGCATTGTAATTTCTAAGTTACGGACTTGAGTGAAGAGGCAAGTGACAGGCAAAAGAAACAACCTACCTCTGTTTGCATTAGCATAATACATTTAATAGGAAGAAAAGAGGAAGATAGGAAAATGGTTATTAAGTTGACAAGGCTCAGATGATCCAATTTGTCAGTCACAGAGATTCATGAAATGCAATCCCAGCTACTTTCCTATTTCAGAAACCAAGATTTAAAAAGAAAACCACATGAAATCAGAAAACTATCTCAGTCTCATTCTGTGTGTTTGTGTTTCTTTACCAGCATACTAATGTGGGAACTTAATAAACTTGATAGATTACACTATCAAAATAGTTTCCTTTAAAAAAAAAAAACCAGCTTTACTGAGATATAAGTTTCCTTTTCTTGCTTGTATGTTTACAGAATAGCTCTGGAAGGTTACACAAGAAACTGGTAATTCCCTTGCCTTCATGGAGGGGAATCGAGAAACAACGATAAGAGAGACTTGATTTTCCAATTCTGAGCCATGTGAATGCATTATCTATTCAAAATAACATAAATTAGCTCCTTTTCTATTGTCCAATGAGAGCAGGCTTGTGCCACTTTGCCCTCAGTCTATTCTAACCTATCAGAGATACTATTATATTAGAAGTGCTGTTAGAAAAGAGGACCATGAATGAAGATGTCTGTTTTGTTTTTTAAATCTCATTGACTCTTCAGAAGTGCCCTTTACCTCTAGGTTGAAGAGCATATTAAAGTCGGGAATGCAGACATGTTTGTCCTCCATTTTCCTGCGCATGTTTTTGATGGCGTGGATTGATGTCTCATAATAGAGCTGGGGTCTCCTGCGGAGAGGGAAGTCTTTCACCCAGCTGCAGCAAATCTCGTGTAGTTTGCTGAAGACGGAGCGGGCCAATTTCACTGTCTCAATCTCTGAAAGAAACACAGAAAAACTCCCAATGAAGAGCCTTGTAAAAACTGCTTTTCACTTGCCTGATTGGTAAAGACAGAAGTAGGTCACATTAGTCAAGCTCCTCCTTAATACAAGAAATTCCCCTTTCTCAAGAGAAATGTTGCTTCTGAAGAGAGAAAACGACAACCTTTCTAGTAGAAAATCATCAGCCAGCAGCTGCCACTGAGATAATCCTTATGTTGTAGGGAGAAAAACCTCTGGTCAGGGCTGGATCTCTTCCTAGGCTGGATTTATTCTTGCCTGTGAAGGGCTCAGGCCACTGCTATCTAGTTCAGAGCACTGGTTCCCTTTTCCTTGGCTGCCACGCCAAACCCCACATGTGCTTAGATGAATGACTGAAATATGAACAGTGGTTATCCAGCTAACTGGAATATGAAAAGCCTATGGAAACAGATTATTTATTTACAAACTACAGGAATAAGAATAATAAGAATTACCATTTGTCTTTGTCTCGCTTTCTTCTTCACCCACTTCCTTTACCTCCTCCCAGTTCCCCGACTTTTCTCTCCTGTAACTGTTCGTAATTCAGAACTAAATTACATATTTCTGTTATTTGATGTATTTTTAATCAAAGTTTTAGGCAATAGCTTAAATAGTTGAACAGATGAGTTAAGAATTTTATATATCTCTAAGGAAAAAGAACTTAAATTTCTGTTTATATGTGTGTACCCTGGATAGAAAAAAAGATAGCAATCAGAAGATTCTTTACCCTAGACTATTAAGTCTGCTACTTGACCTATTAAGTGGAGTAGGCTAGCTGACCGCTAGCTTGCATCACTCAAGGGTGGACAGACATGAAAGCCTTTTAAGCAACACTGAATATAGTATTGACTGGATTGATCATCTCTACTCAAGTTGCAGCTATTGAAATAACCAAGGGGAGATTAGGTTTTCTCAAGCCAGTATTTTAGAGGTTCCTCCTACATCTCAGGTAAAAAAAAATTTCAGAATTCTCTCACTCTTTTTTTTTTTTACTTTACTAAACCAGATATAGTTTGACAGCCTGAAAATAATGGGAGCCAGATGGGAAATGCCTCCTCTGATCTAGAACACAAATCTCAAAGAAGAGAGACTACCTGTTCTAGAATGCACTGGGAACTTAGCTTCTTGTTTGATATTCCTCGCCCTGCCATTGCCTTAATCTGTGACTACATTTACCTGTTTCCTTATTCAAAATTCTTTTTTAAATGACTGTGTTTAGAAATAAGATCTCAAGGTTCTTGTTTTCATTAACATAATACAGGGTGGTAAACCATGTTTGTGGCTTGGTCCCCTTGACATTTTTATGTAACTGAAAATCAAGGGTATATGTGAAAAAATTTCAAAAAGCAAATAAAACCTGAGGAGGTGTGTATAAGAGGAAAACTGAGGCCAATAGAAAACCCAACATTTTGACTGTTTTGAGCAACTCCTATATATTTTTTTAAGCACCAGTTGCCAGAGACGCTCTTTCAGCCAACAATTATCTGTACGCATCACTCCAACCCATAAGGTCTCTGCAGCAATACAGCCCCTGGATCTGCATTTGACAGTCACAACAGAGGAATGACAAGTGAATTGAGAAACTTTGGGGGAGAATGGGATGGGGTGGAACAAATAATTGATACTAACTATCAGGATGGCTTCCAGATTCCCAGATAATCATTTGAACCATTATGTCATTCTTTGGTTTGTACATTACTCTTATTATATAGACCTGGACTATCCAATAAGGTAGCTTCCTAGCTACATGTGGCTATTTAAATTAAATAAAATTTAAAGTTCAGTTTTTTGGGGTCACATTAGCTATATTTCAAGTGCTCAATAAATACATATGGCCAGTGGCTACAATATTGGAAAACAGGTAGAGAACATTTCTGTCACTGTGCTATCTATTGGACAGTGCTGGTGTAGACAGATTAACTTGGTTAGGGGAAGTAATACCAGCTTCCACTAATATTTAGTAAACCACTAGATGTGTCCTTCCCCATCCCAGTTTCTCCTTCCCCATCCCAGTTTCTCCTTCCCTTATGTTCCCATTACACTTTGTTCACACCATCTATTATATAACAATTTTGTAACAATAGATAACGTTTTGGGGGTATTTTCTACATTCTGTATCTCTGGAACATTTCACAAACAAAGCCATTCTCAATCCCAGGTATACCTGACTCTAACACCCATGCTCTACATTTCCTAAATTAGATTGCAGGTAGAGACTGTTTCTTAATCTTCCTTCATTAGTCATAGTACAGAACCTAGCAGACAGCAGGTTTCATTAGATGTTTACTGAATAAATGAATATGCAAACCTATATAAATTAATCCCTAAAATATTAAAATATATGCTTCTTGATCATCTATTCTGCTTCACTGATCTCTCCATCTATATCTAGAATGGTGCCATTCTTTTAAAATTACTGTAACTTTATACATAATATCAGGAGGACCAGTTTTCCTATTATTTTTAATTTTAAAAGATGTCACTTTAACATGTTTATCCTTCTAGATGAATTTTCTAATTATTGTGCCAAGTTTTAGGGGGGAAATTGGTTGTCATTGTGTTTCAGGTAACATTGAATTTATAGAGTAATTTAAAAAAAAAAAAATGACACTTTTTTCATACTGAGTCTTATCCAAGAACAAGTTACATAGTCTAATTTAAATCCTTTTTATATTGCTCAGTAGAGTTTTTTTTAACACAGGCCCTTCATATTTCTTAATGAATTTTATTCCTAGTTATTTTATTTTTATTTGGCATTTTGAGTCAGAACTTTGCTTTAATGTGTTACCTGCCACCTAGCAAACATTCCTCTTTCTACCAGGAACATTCCTTCTTTACTCTCAGTTCATGTACATCTAGGGGTAAAAACATGTAATTCAAGTCTATCCAATAAAGGAATCACATCCCTCTGGACATAGTGATTGGTTCAGAAATGGAAAATAATCCCAGCTGGGCTGATTAGAGTAAATCTGTGACTTATGTTAAGAGCAACTGAGTAAAGTTACTCTTATTTTGCTTCTTGATTTGAACCTGGGCAGACAAAGACCCAGCACTCCTAGCAGTCATTTTGCCACTGCATGGAGCCTGAAAATAAAATCAAAATGAAAGAGAGTACAGCTGAGAGTTGGAGAAATGCCAGGTTCTGGTGACATTATATGAAGCCTTGAATCTAGCCGTGTAGCCTTTCCTTACCTTGAAGGGTACGCAATAAATTCTGTTTTGCTGAAGCCAGTTTGAGTTGTGTTAGTGGTCACTTGTAACCAAAAAGTTCTTGAGTATGTACGTCAAGCATGAATGCTGGATTTTGGGGTGAGCCAAATTTTGTCCGAGATGTATCCATCTAGTTCTACTTTATTAAGTGTATTTTTTAAATTTAGGAATGGATATTGAATTTTATCAAATGTTTCTTTGGGCATCTTTAGAGATTATTCCTTTTTTTCCTTTTGACCTATTTAAGATGTAAATTATGCTACGAGACTTCCCAGTATTTTTGTTTTGTTTACTGCTGTTTCCTCAGCATAGTGCTAAGTATATGGTAGGCCCTCGATAAAATTCTCATCAACTGAATTAACTGTTGTACCCAAAATGTACAGATATTTTACTTAATATATTAAATATTGATTACTAAGATTGATCTCATTTCATTTTTTAATTTTGTCTTAGGCAAGTTTTGGTATCAGTGTCATGCTGTGCTAATTTTCCTTCTTTCTCTATGCAACTGAATAATTCATTTTAAAAAGCATTGGAATTGTCTTGGATCGTTTGAAATTGTTCACCTGTAGAATCACCTTCTCGTACTTTTGAAAAGACCTACTTAACAATCTTCTCAATCTCTTTCTTCTTTGTTTATTTGTTTTTCTAGAAAATACCCAGATTTCAAATTTATTCACACAAAGTTTTAAAAATTCTTTTAATTTTCTCGTGATTAATGATCATTTTCCCCTCCTTTTTAATTTTTACATTGGGATATTTCAAATTGATTTTAAGTTGTCTAGATAGGAGTTAGTTAACACTTCCTAAACTAAATTTGTTACAACAGAAATGTAAGGTTATTTAGCAAACATTCTGTTAGAGATGATATGAACATGAAAAGAACTTTAAGTTAAGGATTTTTTTTAAAGACTGGTTTTGGAAACAACTAAAAGGAGAGACAAAAGGCATTTCAGTGGGGACTTCAGTGCCTTTAAGCCAGTGGCAGTAGGCTTTATTCAGCATGCCTGTTTCCCATTCTGACATATGAAGAAACACAATATGCCCCATAGAGATTCTCAATTCACACTGAGTGATTTGGGTTAAATAGATTAAAGACTTGCAAATTGTCTAGAATTATAATAGATCATTCTGAATCACAGCAGTGGCATGGAGACATTATTGGGTTATCTCCTGGAAAAATAGAAAATCGGAATAACCAATGATATCTGCCAAAAGAAAAATCCTTCATTTCATTTTTGCTATTTTACTGGGGAAGGGGTGGGGGGATGTCAGAAAATTCTTCCAAGGTAGGCATGTAGGGCAACACCTCAGTCTTGCTACGTTAAGTGGTCTAATGCAGGGAGTGGTGTAGAACATTGGTATATAAATAATTGCTTCTTGAAATGAAAAAATAAAATTAAAAAGGGTGTAAAAAAGAGAAAATTGTTCAAAGTAGTAGTCCACCCCCTCACAGCTGTAAATTACTCATCAGTCGTTAATGTCACTGTGCTGAGCTGAAGCTGAGTCAGCCGTCAGCCTGGCTGCAGTGAAAGAATTTAATCTCCCTCATCTTTTCATTACTGGGCTTTTACTTCATGCATCAGTAGCAGAGGAAAGACCATTGCTTTGTAGCAGGAATTCCATCCAACTTGACTCTGAACACTTTGGTTCCAAGTGAATCAATTACCCTCAGTAAAAACAAGCAGAAGAATTCTTTCCTTGCCAATTTTCTGTCAAAAATGATCTAGAGAGATAAAGGAAGAACAGGAATGTTTACTTATATCTGCCTCACAGTCTCCGGAATCTAGCTACTCTGATTAATATATGCTTTGTTCCTTATGTACCATATTTAAAGGTAAATACTTAAAATAGAACAAATAGAATGGAATATTAAAATTCCTCAACAATTTTGAGCAGTAATTCCCTAATTTTTACAAAAAACAGTATTTCTTTAGAGCCTATCAAATATATGTAAGTCTAATACATTAATAAACGTGCCTTTCTTAATAAAGCCTCATAATTTGCATAACTCAAAAAGAGCTCTATTTATTGGTTGATATAAAATGTGATATAATTAATGAGAAGTTTTGTTACAACTAATTTCTTGAATTTTTATCTGATTTGTTAAACTGGATTCTTAAAGGTAAGCCAAAAATTTTAAATAGGTTTTGCTCAAACTCTCTCTTCCCTCACTCGCTCATCTTTTTCTGTTGTCTTCACTTTTCTCCCTTTACTCTTTCCATTTATCAAGATATTATTTGATATCCTGTAATGATCAACTCTTGTTCCAATTACCTTCTCATATTTTCAAAATATACCTGTACTTTTTTCTCTTTTTTCCTCCTTTATTGATTAATTTGAAAAAATAATTTTTTTGCATTTTTTTTTTCTCTTGCTACCACCATAAAATCAACCAATGGTAAACATAGTATGATTGAGTATTTTGTAGACATTTTCTGTGGATCATTACACATGGCTAGATTTTCATATTTTCAAACAAGTGATGTAGAAAGGTACTTACCCACAGTCCCTTCTGTGCCATCCGTTTCCTTTGGGATATAATGTGCAGAAAGATCACTCTGAAGGACTTCATCTGATGTGGCTCTGGCTAAAGCAGCAGCCAAAAAGGAAGGGCAGTTACTGAAAGAGAAAAATAAAAGGCCATTTCAGTAAGAAGTAGGAAACAATACAATCAACATTATGATTAACATATTATTGCAAAACAAAATTATACCTTTAAACAATATTCGATACATATTTATTGAGAGCACGTTATGTGCTAGGCACCCTGCCTGGGCACTGGGTATATATACTGATGAATAATACAGACCTAGCCCTTGTCCTGGTGGGGCGTACGATCTAGTTAGGGAGATAGATGATAAGTAAACAACTAAGATTAACTTAAAATTGGGACAAGTTTTATGAAGGAAACAAATGGCATACAGTGACAGAATAAGAAAGAGGGCACCTATTCAGAATTGTCGAGAAAGCCGAGGATGAAAAAGCCTCGGTTATGTGGGGGTGGGATATTGGGAGAGAATATCTCAGGCAGCGAAATGGTCCTATATACTCTTTAAGAACCTTACCATTCCACTGCTTGTCTTTTCCTTTCAATTATGCTTTGCTTTAACTGGACACATCCAAATATCTTGCTGAAGTAGACTTTTACTATATAGTTAAAATATTTACTTGGTCCTTTTGTTTGTTTTAAAATTTATATTAAAATTATCTGAAAACCTTTACTGTAATCTTGTTCCTAGAGTTCAAAGAAAATTCTTTTCTATAATTTTTAAACTATCTGGACCTAGGTTCACCAAAAGTAAGACTGTAAAAATCTTAGTATAAGGCAAGAAATATTAGTCTCATTAATGTGTCATCGGCAATACATTTTTAGTCACAGTTAATGTAATTTTTTACTTTTTGTCATACAGAATGAAAATATTTTCAAATGAGGTAAGGAGGAGGATTAACTGACTAATAGCTAGACATAAAACATCAAGCTAGACGCTTCACCCACATCAGCTATTCCTACATGTCAGAAAGCTGTAACACTTAGCAGAACAAGTTCTTATGGTTTTGACTCTGAATTGAAAGTGATTGTTTCTAAAAAATCAGAATTGCAAATATATTTTAAAACACAGTCACATCAGAGAATATTTGATACGACGCGAATAAAAGCTTGTCATTAAAGCTTGTCATTTTAAAGAGAATTACCAGGAGTGACTAACATGATAATAACATAGCAAACTGTTTTTTTTTTTTTTTCCATCATTTCTCATTCAATGCTTGAAAGATCCTGATACAGAAGGTTTTAAAGTTAGGCAAATGTATTACATAGCAAATATCAGAGGAGGGCCAATACTCATGGTAGTTTGGAGAAATGGGGTTACAAATGTTAATGAGAACATTGCTGAAATAAAGTTTGATTAGAAATTTTTTAACTTTTGCAGTCATTTGGGGGGACTGGCTCTTTTAAAGTCAAATTAATCTTGTCAGGCCCCTCAAATATAGTTCAAGAATGAGATTTTACTATTTATATATCACAGATATATCTGAGGTGCATACTATTCCTATCCTCAAATAATTCACAGCCTGAGAACAAAAGAATGTGTTTTCATACCAACTTGTTGCTTTCGTGTTTATTTTAAATATCGAACTACAGACTTTATATAGTCATAGATAAAAATAAAATCCTTATCTAGTTTATGTCTAAGTCATATATAAGCTATATGCATAAATACCTTTGAACAATGTTGAAATATCATTAAGGGTCCATTTAGTTTTAATTTTTAAGTTTCATCACATAAAACATTCCACTTAAAGCTATTTATGTTAATACATGAATGCTTATTTGAATTTCTGTGTATACTGACTTCCTCAGTATTACATATTGTAAAGCAAAAATCAGGCTCTATAAGCTTCATAAACTAAACTCTAAACAAAGCACAAGGTTATGCTTTAAGCTAACAATGGGTATTCTCCAAGACACACATACACAAAATTCATAAAACTCTGATTCTTGAATGTTCTGACTGTGCCTCCCTGCTACTCACATTGGCTGATGTCATCTTTATATTCAAAATATTTATCTGAGTAAGGTCAATCTTAACTCTTCACTTCCATTTCAAAAGTAACCACAGCCTAAAACATGCTTGGTAGAAGATTCTGAATTATAAAAATACAACATTCTAACAACCTTCAACAGTTCAATACTTGTTTTTTATATAAATTCTTTTATTTTACATCAGTTCTTTCCCCAAATTATACATTTAAAAAGCTATACAGTATATCTGGGAGCAGTATTTAAGGATGAAGCAGGTATTCAATCATTGTTATGGGTTGAAAGTTTATACCCCACTCCCCCAAATTCATTACGTTGAAATTCTAATCCCCAATGTGATGATATTTGGAGGTAGAAACTTTGGAAGGTGATTAGGTCATGAGGGTGGAGCACCCATGAATGAAATTAGTGCCCTTATAAAAAGTGCTCTCGCCTCTTGCACCATGTGAAGACAGAAAGAGAAGACAGTCATGAAGCATGCCCTTACCGGACACAAAATCCACCAGTGCCTTAATCTTAGACATCCCAGCCTCCAGAACTGTGAGAAACACATTTCTACGATTTATAAGTGATCCAGGCTGTGGTAATTTGTTCCGGCAGTTCAAATGAACTAAGATGATCATTATGAGAATTCTCCAAATTATAATTAGTGGATCAGCATAGAGAAAAAAATCTTCAATACGGAGTAAGTTCATTTCTTATGCTCTAGATGAGTATTGATTTTTTTTTTTTGAGTTCATAATGGGGCCAAGTCATAGGAGAAGCCTGAGCATTACTTACACCTATAGTGCTTGCAGGATTATTACATACGGGTCTTTGTTACTACACACACACACACACACACACACACACACACACACACACTTAGTTTCTTTTTTTATTTATTTTCCAATAATAGTTGACAAACAATATTATATCAATCTCAGGTATACAACATAGTGATTAGACATTTATAGACCTTGCGAAATGAGCACCCTGATAAGTCTAGTACCCATCTGACACCATATATACTTATTACAATATTGACTATATTCTCTATGCGATACTTTACATCCCAATGACTATTTTTATAACTGGCAATTTGTACTTCTTAATCACTTTTACCTTTTCACCCATCCCCCTCAACCTCCCTTCCATCTGGCGACCATCAATTTGTTCTCAGTAAATATGAGTTTGTTTCTGTTTTATTGTTTTGTTTTTTAGATTCCACATATAAGTAAAATACAGTATTTGTCTTTCTCTGACTTATTTCACTTAGCATAATATTGTCTCAGTCCATCCGTGGTGTTGCAAAAGACAAGATTTTCTTTTTATGACTAATATTCCATTGCATTTATGTATCACAACTTCTTTATCCATCTGTCTATTGATGGACTCTTAGGTTGCCTCCATATCTTGGCTATTGTAAATAATGCTGCAATAAACACAGGGGTGCATATAGCTTTTCAAATTAGTGTTTTGGATTTCTTTGAATAAATACCGAGAAGTCCAATTGCTAGGTTATTTGATATATCCATTTTTGAGTTTTTTGCAGAATCTCCATACTGTTTTCCATAGGGGCTGCAGTATGCAATCCCACCAACAGGGGCACAAGGGTTCCCTTTTGTCCATATCCTCACAAACACATGTTATTTGTTGATTTATTGATGATGGCCATTCTGACAGGTGTGAGATGATATCTCATTATGGTTTTTATTTGCATTTCCCTAATGATTAGTGTTATTGAGCATCTTTTCATATGTCCATTGGCTATCTGTATATCTTCTTTGGAAAAAGTCTATTCAGGTCCTCTGTCCATTTTTTAATCAGATTGTTGGGGGTTTTTTTGTTTTGATGTTAAGCTGTATGAATTCCTTATATATTTTGAATATTAACCCCTTGTCAGATGTATTGTTGAATATCTTCTCTCATTCAGTAGGTTTTTCCCTTGCTGTGCAAAAACTTTTTGGTTTGATGTAGTCCCACTTTCCCTTGCCCAAGGAGATGTACCAAAAAAAAATATTGTTAAGAATGATGCCAAAGAGTTTACTGCCTATATTTTCTTCTAGGAATTTTATGATTTCAGTTCTTACATTTAAGTCTTTAATCTGTTTTGAGTTTATTCTTGTGTATGGTATAAGAAAATGGCCTAGTTTCATCATTTTTTTGCATGTATCAGTCTAATTTTCCCACCACCATTTATTGAAGAGACTGTCTTTATACCACTGTATATTCTTACCTCATTTGTCATAAATCAATTGTCATAAATCAATCAATAGGCATGGGTGTAGTTCTGGGATCTCTGTTCTGTTCCATTAATCAATGTGTCTTTTTATGCCATACCATATTATTTTGATTATTATAGCCTTGTAGTATAGTATGATTTCAGATAGTGTGATATCTCCAACTTTGTTCTTTCTCAAGACTGCTTTGGCTATTACCCATAGATATTAAAGACTTGTTTGTATACAATCAATAGGCATGGGTGTAGTTCTGGGATCTCTGTTCTGTTCCATTAATCAATGTGTCTTTTTATGCCATACCATATTATTTTGATTATTATAGCCTTGTAGTATAGTATGATTTCAGATAGTGTGATATCTCCAACTTTGTTCTTTTTCAAGACTGCTTTGGCTATTACCTATAGATATTAAAGACTTGTTTATATATATAGCTATCTCAGTCACTCGGAAATCACTTTAGCTCATAATTTAAACACTGATTTCTCTGTTACTACAGAATTTTTTTAAATGATGAAGAATAATTACAAATCACTATTGACTTTTTTTTTTTTAATCACTATTGACTTTGAAGCCTCAACATATGTAGTTGCACACTGAGGGAGACCTAAGATCCCTGCTAATATATTATTTAAATGTTACTCAACTAACTTGTTGGAGATAGGAGGTTATAGCAGAAATATAAGGATTTAGAAAAGTGAGCTCTAATTCTAGTTTTGTAACCTTAGAAAAGATGCTTAAACCCTAGGTTTCAGTTTCCTCAAATGGAAAATTAAGAAATTGTAATAAAATAACTCAAGTTTCTTCTAGGTCTAAAATTCTAATTCTATCATTCTATTCCAAATAATGTTTTGAATTTC